GAGCCTGTCCTTCCTTCGGCTCTCCCAGATCTCAAGGAAATCAGTCAGGCAATGTATTTTGACTCCAAACAAAGAAAACTTTAAAAAAACATTTCAGTTGAAACTTGCATAATCCTTCCAGTGGAGAAATCCTCCCTGCACTTTCGCAATCCTTAGAAAGAGACACATTATTGCCACAGAGAGTCCGGCTGCGGCAGGGACACCTCCTGCTGTCTCCTGCCAGCCCGCCAGGCGCAGGCCCCGGAACTGCCGCCTCCTCCCCGGAGGCCCTGCCGGGCGGCGAAGCCCAAACTCAGGCTGGGGCTCCCCCGGCCAGCTGGGGCGGGGCCCGGCTCACACTTCACCCAGACTTCCTCGGTTGCATCCTGTCTGCCTCCCCAGCCACGCAGACAGATGTGACACAAACCGGCTGCGGCAGGCAGGTTGAGAAACAAGACGCCGGAGCCGATGACCTTTCCCTGGCCGACTCAACACTGACCGGGGACTCCAAGGGCGCCTGGGGACAGAGATGAGGGCCACCCAGGACCCTGCTGCCCCAGGAAGGCAAGGGAGCCAGCTCCCAGAGAGGTTCCGGACAGATCGGCAGAGGGGTGATGGACCATGTCCTGAGAACAGCCCCCACAGGGCTCTGCTCCCCGCAGAAATAGATCGAGCACACCTGGTGGGAGCAGGCAATCCGGGGCCATGCAGGGGCCCACGCCCGCCCTCATCCAGGCACAGCTGACTCTGGGAGCAGGCAGAGGCTAGGCCAATCCCCAGCCTCTGCTCTCCCCACTTGAGACCCTGCCTGCTCTCTGCCTGGAGCTCTGGCCTGGAGGGGCAGACCTGGCCTCAGCACTGGAGCCTGCCAGGAGCACGGCCTAGACCACCACAGGACCCACAGAGGCCCGGAGCCAACACCTTGCAGCAAACAGGCCTCTTCCAAAGGAAGCCTGGGACAAAGGGACAGCAGATCTGCTGACACGTCCCCCAGACTCGAGGGTGTCAGTGAGCACAACCCCAATACCGTGCACACCGCTGCACCGAAGAAGGGCCTGGAAAAGGCAAGTGGGCTCCAGGAATCCTTGCGCTTCCCTCCCGTGGTCTTTCTAGCTTCCAAGAGCAGCATGCCAGGCGCTCCCAGCAGAAGCCTGGGGCCAGGACCCCCCAGCCTGTGTACCAACAAGACGCTGTCAGTGCCCAGAAAAGCTCCAGGACCCCAGCTCGTGAGACTGACCCCACCAGCGTCCACCTGTGCAGCAGACACTGCCCATGCACCAAACCCCTAGCGAGGCGGATGCAGGATGTCACATCGCGAACCCTCAGCTGGGCACAGCTCCCCACACTAAGATCCTTGGCCCCAGCGCCTTGGATACATGGCGACCCACACAGAACAAGGCCATGCCACTCAAGTTCCAAGAGCCGGGTGTCTCATGGGCAGAGGCACACTGATCTGAACCACCCAAGCCCTCCAGTCAGGACGGCCACAGCCAGGGAGCTGTAGGAAGGAGCCGATTCTCCAGCACACAAGTGGCCTCCTACTGCCAGGAGGGAGAGCCTGTGCCGCCCTGTTGCACGCCCGAAAGTGAAGCATCCGGTTGCCCAGTGAGATGTCCTGAGGAACCAGGAGCCGGGTCCCAGGCAGCAGGTGGAGCGGCATTCTGTCTCCCTGATGGCGCAGTCTATGCCACTAAAACGATCCAGTGTAGCCCCACAAACGTCAGGCAAGCCAGGAGGAAGGGACTGGTCCACCGGATGGAGCAGAGAGGGTGGGGGCGGGGAGCTTGGAGGCCCCCCCCCGTTGCCCTGTGCGCCATCTGCGCCCCACTTGCGACACTCAACACATAAACACCGGTCACCAGTTTACACACAGAGAGGTCAAGCTACTTCTTCAAGGTCGCAAAGTCAGTGAGGGACAGAGTGGAGGGGTGAGAGCAGCCCTAACCTGCCAAGGGCAGTAGCCACAGAGGTCCCCCAGCAATGACTCGCCGGGCACCCAGCGACCCACGCAGCCTTCCAAGCTGCCTCAGCAGGAAGCGGGGCACACCCTCCGCCCTTCCCACTCCCCCACCACACTGCCACTAGGGAGGATGTCACCGAGGAAGCCCCCAGCCCTTCACGGTGTCACGGGGCCTGAGGCAAAGGGTTTCCAGGGCTAGAGGCTAGAAAGCCACCTCTCGCGCAGTTCCACGCTGAGGTGGCCACAGGAGCCACCATCCCACAGCGCATGGGGAAGGCCCCCAGACAAGCCAAGGGGGAGAGGTAACAGGGCAGCAGGCACACCGGCAAGATCCCGGCCTCCCCCACTGTGCGGCTGACCCAGGCCCCTCTGGGCAGGAGACCCCGTCTGCGGGGCCCGCACACATCCCCAAGACACCTGGGCTCACTCCCATCCCTCGGGTCTGCTGGGAGCAGCAGCCCTGCAAAGAGTTCCAGCACATTCTTTGTTCTTCCTGCTCTCATCCTCCGTCGATCACAAACATTAAAATAAGCTACAAAGGAAGTGAGGAAATCAAAACACATCCTGAGAATAAGCTGTCAAGAGGCAAGGGGTGGAGCCACGGGGCCAGCAGGGTGTGGGCGCCGGGCGGGGGCCTCGAGTCCCTCCTGGGACAGTGGGGTCTGGGCTCCGCAGACCCATGCCCGCCTGCCGTGAGGCGACACTCCCTTCTCATGTGGCGCCCTGCCCTTGCAGACCAGCACACGGCTGTCCCAGGGAGCTGAGGGGAGGATCAGGACACCCCACTGCAGTCACAGGGCCCCGGGGGCGGGCCCTGAACAAGGGCAGAGTTTCCAGCCGCCACACCACACCAAGAACAGGGAGCTGGGGCGAGGCTGGCAGGGGGAAAGGAAGTGCACAGGACCCAGGCCGGGCCGCCACTGCCGCTGTCTCCATCACGGCTTGGGGACTGTTTTCCAGTCAGCACACGAGCCTCCAGCACAGCACAGGGATGGCCATCAAAGGGGAAAGGCAGTGCCAAACCATCCAGCCACATGACCCAAGGGGGAGCCTGTCTGGCCCGCCTCTGTGGCCGTGACCGGGTTCAGGGCACCGTCCTGCCTTCTCTCAGCAGCGCCTGGGATTCGGCTGGGGCCAGGCCCTCCCTGGGCCCAAGGCTCCTCAGCCCAGAACCGCGGGCCTGCCACAAGGGAGGGAGAAGCTCGGTGCAGCTGTGACAAAGAGGCCCCGCTGGCCACTCCGCCAGCCCCCAGCAAAGCCCAGGAAGACAGAAAAACCACAAACACACACAAGCCTCCGGCTCGGACAAAAACAGACACGCCCTAACTCAGCCAAGAGTCTCTGCTCTGGGGGCCAGCTTCGTGACCGTGTCCCAGCAGCTCAGGCCTCGGCCTGCACCCGCTCCAGTCTGCCCGAGCCCACCACAATCCCCCGCACACGTGGCTCCTTCCGGCCACAGGCGCCATGAGGGTACAGGCGCCCCAAACGGAATGGCCCCGGCACAGGGAGTGCCATTGTGCCCACCTCGCAGCTCCCTCTCTGACGTGAGGGCCCCACCTGCAGGGTCTGTCTGTAGCCTGCCACTGGCGTCCTCCCTACCCCACAGGAGGGTCGGCAGGCGGCCACCGCCTGGGTGCTGGCCTGGCTGGGGCAGAAGCACCCCGGACACACATGCGCGCGTGCTCCGTGGCCCCTCTGAGCAGAGGCTCGGAACTCGCTTCCCTCCACGGCCCCTCCTCCCGCGATCTGACACTCCGCTGGAGGGGCGCCCAGAGAAAAGCGGGTTGGAGCATCTATTCACAGATCTAGAAAAAAAAGTTTGATGCAATAGCTGAATTAATTAGGCCTCCCAAGAATAGCTGAGCCAAGGCAGCATTCTGTGTGTGCGATTTAATAAGCCTGGGTATTTCAGAGAAAAGTTACAAAGACTCGGCGAGGGTATGCAGCGGCAAGTTCCTGGGAGCCCAGGGAGGGACTTCGGCGCCTTGTGGCAGGGGAGCTGCCCACCCCGGGCCCCGCAGACCCCCGACTGGCAACCACAGAGCCCGGGCCAGCCGCCTCGCCTCTCTGCCTCTCAGAGGGAGACAAGGAAACGGCGAGTCCAAAACAACTCCAACGCCGGAGCCGGGGGCCGACAGACCAGGCCCTGGGCCAGGTGCCCAGCGGCCCTCTTCCCCACACAGGGGACTCTGGGACTCGCTTGCTGGCAAAGCCGGGGAGACCAACAAGCACAGGCCTGGAGCCGCGGAGTCTCGGCCCCCTGCCACTGCAGTCCGGACGCCTGGCTCCATGTCTGCGTGTGCGTCCCAAGACTTCAAGGCACACCACCAGGGAGCTGGTAACAAAACCAGGCCCCGCCATGCCGAAGTTCTGCCTGCTGGGGCCGAGGGCAGGCACCCTGTCTGCGAGTCTGGAAGGCTTCAGGGGGAGGTCTGCCACCGTCGCCCCCACCTCGTCTGGAAGCCTCGTGGGAGCCCCGAGGGAGATCTGGGTCCAGCAGAATGTCCCTTCCCAGAGCTCGGGCAGGCTAGCTCCTAAGGGCGAGCGCGTGAGGCCTGTGTGTCTTTCCAGCCTCTCCGGGCAACGGCCGCGAGTCCAGGGGGCCTTTCCCAGGCACCAGGCCTGGTCCCTCCTCCCACCCCTCACAGCCCATCTCCAGGAACTCCGAGCCCTGGATTTCCAAGCGCAGATCCAAAACCCAGGACGCAGGAAGGCGGAAGCACGGGGCCCAGTCTCAGAGGCCAGGGCCTGGAGCCCAAGAGTACCACCCCCAGCCCCGGCACGCCCCACCCCAGCTCCCGGGCCTGGGCCACTCACCCGGGGCACCCGCCGCTTGTACTTGTTGCCGTAGTCGAACTTCTCCTTCACATCGTCCAGGCAGCGACCCAGGCGCGCCTGCTCCTCCTTGCCCGTGTAGTCCTGGCTCAGAAGGATGTAGGCTCGCCAGTTGGCCGAGTCGAAGCCCCAGTGGCAGGTCCGGTTCTCCAGGGCCTTGTGCGAGTGCACCACGAACTTGTGCGGTGGGTACATGAGGCGGCAGTCCAGGCACTGGATGCAGGCGGCGCTCGGGCTGCTGTAGAGCTCGGGCACCAGCAGCCCCTTGCACTTGCCGAAGCACTCGTGGTACACGCGGACGCTGCGCTCGCTAAGCTCCAGGCCCAGCGCCAGGCTGGCGGCCAGCTCCTTCTTGCAGGGCGGCGGGTAGGCGCCGCCGTACAGCAGCGCGTTGCACAGGCGCTCGGCGTCCGTCTTGGTGATGAGCCCGCACGAGGGCGCCGAGAAGGGCAGGACGCCCATGACTTTGAGGATCTCCAGCTGGTCGGCCGTGCAGCGCGAGCAGTAGATGTGCAGCTCGTCGCACACCGAGTTGATCTGCTGCAGCGAGAAGTCGCGCAGCACCGAGTTGAGAATCTGCGGCAGGCACAGGCGCTTCTCGCCGCCCACCACGAAGCACGAGATGGTCTCGCCCTCCAGCACGGTCTCGCAGCGCTCGGTGGAGCGGTCGGACGGCATGAAGAAGGGCCCGGGCAGCACGGGC